GCATTGTTGGTTTCTCTGTATAATTTCTTATTCCAGTTAATACTCTGTTTCTTGACAGGGGAAACTGGTGATGCTCACATCAAGTCTTTACGTACTCGGCAAATGAAGAATTTTCATTTAGCTTTGATGATTTCTCAGGTACGTATTGCCAACATACACCTGTTTAAATACTGTTAAAAATCCATATGAGACCAACCGTGATCAATGATCAGGGAACACCAATGATGCTAATGGGAGACGAATATGGACATACGCGGTATGGTAATAACAATAGCTACGGACATGATACTGCTCTTAACAATTTCCAGTGGAAAGAGGCAAGTCTTACATCTCACGGTTTGTCCTTCTTTGTTAACTACTGATTCCCCCATGAACTGTAATCATTTCTTCTTTCTAAATTCAGCTCGACGCAAAGAAGCAAAACCATTTCAGGTTTTTTTCGGAGATGATCAAGTTTCGACATTCACACCATGTACTCAAGCATGAAAATTTCCTCACCCAAGTAACTAAGTAACCTTCTCTTGTTTACATCTATTTCTTGAATCTTGGAGTGCTACTCTAATGTGCAATGTTTGTCTAAAGGGCGAGATTACATGGCATGAAGATAATTGGGGCAACCCTGAGAGCAAGTTCCTAGCTTTCACGTAAGACACAAAAGTCCCAAAGTTTCTTACTTAAGTGTGTTATACTGCTTAATGAGTCATCTGATTTCAGATTAATAAGTGATTGTTCTTGCAGTCTCCATGACGGTGTAGGTGGCCGTGACATCTATGTGGCATTCAACGCCCACGATTACTTTGTCAAGGCTCTGATTCCACAGCCACCACCGGGAAAACAATGGTTCCGTGTGGTCAGTCTTTCTTTCTTTCGTCTTCTTTAGTTCTCTAATTCCATGACTGACTCAATTGTTATGATTTCCACAGGCTGACACAAACCTTGAGTCACCGGATGATTTTGTGAGCGAAGGTGTGGCCGGCGTGGCTGAGACCTACAATGTGGCTCCATTCTCTTCAATCCTTCTCCAGTCCAAGTAAGATAAGCACTCACACGAACAGCTTCAAGCTTCAACACAAATAACGCACGGTAGAGGAAAAAATAAGGTGTATGAGTTATGAGGAAAAGATCCTCATGAGTGCTTGTAAAACTTGATTACATGTAAAATTATAAAATGTACGATATTTCCAATCAGAAATAAAGAGATATATAGAGCCATGGTACAGTATTTTATAATCATGGAATATGTAGTATTATTCAGTTGTGTTTATATACGAACTATATGTAGTGCTATTATTAATTTAAATCTAGTTAAATGTACCACCTATGTTATGTAAAGTTTGATAATCCAAATAATATCATAAATCTTCATGATTTGGGGTTTTACAACCTTTACTTTATAATCGAAAACTACATTTCACCGACATTTTGAAATTATTCAAGCTTCGAACCATATCCTCCACAAAATGTAATAAAGTGATGTTGCCAAATAAAGTATACAGGATTTGTTTTTTTTTTTTCTGTAACGAATTGCGGATAATAAAAGAAGTCATTTCTTCTGTCTTTCAACTTAAGGTGACTCACCACCTACTTACCACATTGATATTGTCATCTTCGAAGAATCCAAACCATTTTTTATTGTTAAGTAAACATTCAAAATCGTTCTAAAACTCGAGAGTATCCGAGGTTCCATTCCAATTATTAAAACACTGAAACGTTACGTTAAAGCGAAAAAAATATACTAACAAAAATCCATTCCTAAAGAATAAATAAAATAGATGCTTCGATCGTGGAGTCAAAGTTTAATAAAAATACTACTAGAATAAGAAAGAATTCGCAAGACTAATGGGAAACACAACCGCGTGGTAGTCACTAATCCGTAATCACTAATCATAATGGTAAGTGAAAGTTTAGGTCACATTAATTAAAAGTTGAATAATCTCGAAACCTTGAATTAATCCACGTGGTTAGGGCAGTCTTTGGAAACAACGCGTAGTTGGTGTTGGGGTCGGTGGTCGACGACTTAGCCAAATCCATCGGACGGCTCATGTTTTTATCTCGATTTGTTTCCATAGTTGTTTTCTTTCTTCTAATGATACGTGTATCAGACGAAAATAATTTATTACTTCCACTTTCCTAATCATATCTACGTTTCCATAACAATCTTGAAATAAACCCATAAAGTATGCATTAATGCATGTAATGTAAGAAAAGATTTGGATCAAGTTGGTGGTTACGCTATCTAGTAGTTTACTGATATTCCAAATCGTTTTTTTTTACTTCAATAGATTTGTTCGTTGAACAACTTATTAATAGCAGAATAATTGGAGTATTATTGATGAATACGTGTAAGATAGAGACAGAAAATATTTGGCAGGTTATCAACAATAAAAATTCAATTTCACATGTAGTAATTTTTTAAAAACATTTTGGAATATTCTTTTTAATAACAACAAAGAAAAAAATTAAGAAGTTCAACTATATTCCAACAAAATATTTCCGTGTCCACTAATTCTGGCATAGGTTTGGTAAGATCAACTTCGATTTTTACACGAATTATGTAAAGCCTCATAATTTTCCTTGTGAAATCATCGATTTTCAGTAGTACATCTATTAGATAGTATAGTATGTTAGATGGAATGGAATATAACTACCCATTTTATTTGTCGCCTATTAATTTTATCCATCAATAATTAACGAGAATTCGCACTATTATTTAGCAACAAACGATGAACAGTTAAACAAAATATGTAGCTAATTAGCTTAAAATTATTAAAAATACAGCAAAACATCAATAAATAATAATATTAAACTTGTAATACTCCCTCCATTTCGTTTTACTTGTCGTTTAAGGTTTTTTCACACAAATTAAAAAAAACATTAAACTTTCGGCTTTACCCTTTATTAATATATTTTATAAATTTTTTCATTGACCAAAACATTAAAACAATAGAGATAATACTGGAATTTTTACCAAACATTTGCATTGAAAACCTAAAACGGCAACTATTACGAAACAAAATTTAAGTCCTAAAACGCCAATTGAAACGAAACGGATGGAGTATTTTATTAATATAAGAATTAGTCAAAGAATTAATTTGGGATTGACGAACTGTAATGATTCATCGAGATATTAATTTATAAAATTATACTGTAATTAACAACAAATAAATTCTATCAAGAAAAAACAACAAATTTATTTTAGTTTCTAATAGTGTGTTTTCTTATTATGTGTCTTGACATACAAATTTAATTCCACATACTTCTAGGAAACAAAAAAAAAAAAGAAAAGAAAAAAGCGTTAATCTTTTAATATATTATTTTTGAAAAAGATCATAAACACTTAAATGACCAAAATAATTAAAATTTTACCGAATGACATAGCATAATCGTCTAATGACATAAGTCGTAAAATAAAAATTTGTAGAATGAAAAATCGTAGAATTAAAATTTACAAAATACAAACTTTCAAAATGAAAAATCCCATTATGAAATAAATAACTATATATTTATTTATATATCTGTATAATAAATTTATGGGAGACTCACAAAAATGCCCCTTTTTCAATACCCCTTTTCAAAAATGCCCCCTATGGATGTCCATTTTTAAAAATACCCCTTTTATGTACAAAATGACTAAATTACCCTTCTTTTAATAAAAGATATCATAAATATATAAGGAAATATAACAAAATTAGGTCCACAAAATACAAAATATTTTTTGGCGGGAAAAGTAACAAAATTAGGTCCCGCCAAAACACTTGTAAAAATTTGTAAAACCTTTAAAATACCTTGTAAAATTTTCCCGTAAAATTTTTTCCCGCCAAAAAATTTTCCCGCCAAAAAATTTTTTTTGCGGGAAAAGTGATTCCGCAATTTTTTTGGCGTTAAATTTTTGGCGGGAAAATTTTTCCCGCCAAAAATTTACAAGGTATTTTAAAGGTTTTTTACAAGGTATTTATAAGGTTTTACAATGTATTTTAAAAGGTTTTACAACGTATTTACAAGGTATTTATAAGAAGGTATT